AGAGAGAGAGAGAGAGAGAGAGAGAGAGAGAGAGAGAGAGAGAGAGAGAGAGAGAGGTAAGTGTCCAACCTCGCGGCTGGCCTCACGCGACTTCCATTGATAGGATGAGCAAAATCGCATGGATCTTCCGCTAAAACATGGAAATATACACTGCCTGGTTGAATCTACCTGACACCTGCCGTACAACATTTTCTGCAATCAACGGCGCGATGTGAAACAAACCCGCAGCGAAAAAATACCCCAATCATAAAGCCGCGCAAACACCAACTGTACCAAACGCCCTCGACAAAAAAAAACGTCCGAACGCGTGGGCCCTCGTGCCCAAGTGGCAGGCCAAAATGTAAATGTTAAAAAGCGGTCCCGCCGATTACTGAAGTGACCCGGCCCCTTCCCAACTCGAACCCTATTGTGAAATTTTTCACCAGTTGTCCCGAGAAACGACCTCGTGAGACTTATGTTCCGTGGGTCCGCTGGGAGCGTCTTCCGAGGACTGCTTTTCCCTTTAAGTATTAGTAGATAGATAAAACAAAAAAATGACCGACTTCACTATTCTTCATTGATTTCAGTGATCCGATCCAGACATACATCCATGCTCTTCAATCATTATCACGAAGTAGATATGCAAAAACAGAAACGACCAATGCCATTATCAATCATCTGTGCCATTAATTGTGCCAATAACTTTTGCGCATGTATGTACGACCCGATCCAGTAGATTGGGATGAGAACTTACCTAAAATTGCTAGTGCAGACAGTAGCAACATACATAATGTCACAGGGAGAACGCCAAATGCACTACACAAAGGGTGGAAGCCTAGGCGTCCCATCGATGCTCTAACCCGGGTCCAGATTCAAAGGCTACCCTCAGGAACTCGAGAACTTGGAGTTTTTATATGAAGAAGAAATATGAAAAGCCAAGGAAAATATATAGAAAGCCCAATTACGGATGATTGAGCAGGCCAATAAGCATCGCCGACCATCGCTATTCCAAGAAGGTGATCTTGTATGGGTGAAGTCTCAAGATTTTTCCTTCGAAGAGAATGTGTCCCAGAAACTGGTGCCTGTCTATTATGGACCTTGGGAAGTTCTCAAGGTGATTGGGGATGCAAATGGACCCTCCTGCAAAATTGATGTATCCCCACACCTTAAGACCTATCCTGTTTTTCACGCGTCTAAACTCCTGCCATATGTAGAGGGACATGAGTTTCCCAACATACCATCTATGTTCCCGCCCTCTATGAATGGAGGTTGTGAAGTTGAAAAGATTCTGGAACATGGCTATTTCTCTACAGGTGGCAGAGGTAGACTGAAAAACAATTTAAGGTAAAGTTTAAGTCTCAACCACCAACTGAAGCTACATGATTTAATAAAAAGGAACTATTACCTACTGCTCCTGACATTCTTGCTGCATATGAGCGTGGCTTAAGGGAAAGTTAATGAATTTCTGCGATGGAACTCGAAAATTGGACCGACAGGAATGCAATAAACCCGCTCGTTATGCCCTGTTGTTGCCCGAGGGGCACAGGCAGGCCGCGACCTTGGTCTAAGGTCGTGACGGCCAGGGGGAAGAACTCCCCCGAAAATGGCTTCAGGGCCTGTGTGCCCGATAGTTGACTTCGGTCAACTGCCCAGCGGCCCCCGAGTCAAAGTCTGCATGGACCCAGCCCAGGCCACCGGTCAGACACACACACTTGTTTGTATGCAAGTACCAAGACAGCATCCGGACCAAGTGGAAGTCTGCAACTGTCTGAAATCTGGGCCATCCGCTGTGAGGCAATCTGAGCTACCGTGGGTGGGAGACCTAAGGCAGGTCAACCTCGTCAAACGCTACATAAGGCCCTGCCTCCAGGGAGTCAACATTCAGTCTTGCTATGCTGACTTGACGCTGGCTAGATGCTGGCTTGACGCTGGCTGGACGCTGGCTCAATGCTGGCTGTACGCTAGCTCGATGCTGGCTGTACGCTAGCTCGATGCTGGCTGTATGCCGACACTGTGGACGACGACGCGAGGCTGCTGCTTGCTTGCTGGCGCCTTCCTGTCTTGGCGCCAGCCGCTGCTGACGTGGTGCAAGCCACGTTGTCTTCGACATTGCTGATGTGGCTCATGCCACCTTGTCTCCATTGCTGACATGGCATCTGCCACGCTGTCTTCATTGCTGAGTTGGACGCGACAAGGAGGGAGATTCGGGATGTGTGGATTGACGGAGAGTGAGAGGATACTTCCCTGTTGCTGATGCCGATACTGTACACTGCTGACGTCTTCACGGGAGAACTGTGCCACGTGGCACTCTGATGTGAGCAGACCCTGTCAGGCTCGTTATTGGACACTGTTGCTGACGTGGAGGCGAGGGGGAAGCCCGGAGAAGGAGAGGGAAATGTTGGGCTACTATCTCTGTGGTCATTGATGGACACTTACTCTTCCACCCTCTAAACTGTGTACTCCCCCTCTCTCCTCTTCGTCCATTGGTTATGGGACATTGTATCACAGATCACATTCACGATTATTGGAGACATTATTCGGCGCTGAGTTTTCTTGTACTTCGGCACTTGACGAGTACCGTCCAGACCGGGTTCATTACACACACACACACACACACACACACACACACACACACACACACACACACACACACAGACAGAGACAGACA